TCATGCTGTGACAAAACTAGACATGGATGCATTGAGATGGGGAGAGATGACCAAGGACCAAGTTGCAAATAATCCTAGCGAAGGTCAGAGTGGATGAAATTGAATGAGTTGGCAATGAAGGACTGGCATCAAGAGAAAATAGAAAGCTATTGTGGAATGACTGGGAGGAGTGCGACTTGCAGACTCTGAGATAATCCTTCCATGGTCTATTCATCAGCCAACACCCGACATGGGTTCTGTGTCCGGTACTGACCGTTTCACTTTTTAAATAACTGAGAGCAAATAGGCAAAGGTCCACAAGCACAACAATGTTGACTGGAAAGAGAACAAAAAGTTACTGGAAGCAAGATTAAAATATTTAATGTTGTTTACCATGCATGAGATGATACAGAAAAGGAGAAAGGAAAACCTCAGTTACAGACAACATCCCTGCAACAGATGTTTTGACCATTAGTCCTTTGTTTACACCAAAGAAGTCTTTCGTTGTTGGTTCACTGCCCCAACATTTGTCATATACCTACTATGTGCTGGAGATGCAAACACAGGGAAAACTTCTGATCTGTGTCCTGAAAGGAATTGGGAGCCTGGTGAAGACCAGGCTTGTGAATGAATGACTAACATTGCAGTGTAACAGGGACACACAAAGAAGACAGTGGGTGTAATAGGACAACTGAGCAGAATCTTGGAAGAAGAGGGAGAGGTTTTTTCAGAAAGGCCAGACGGAGTAGGATATTTGGACTAGTGGTAAGACACTCCCACCCTAAATGAGGGGTTCAATATCCTCTCTGCTCCTTTTTTTAAAGATTTACTTACTTATTTATTTGAAAGTCAGAGTTACACAGAGAGAGGAGAAGTAGAGAGAGGTCTTCCATTCACTGGTTCACTCACCAATTGGCCGCAATAGCTGGAGCTGCGCTGATCCAAGGCCAGGAGCTTCTTCTGGGCCTCCCACGTGGGTGCAGGGGCCCAAGGACCTGGGCCATCTTCTACTGCTCTCCCAGGCCATAGCAGAGAGCTGGATCGGAAGTGGAGCAGCCGGGACCTGAACCAGCGCCTATATGGGATGCTGGCACTGCAGGCGGCCGCTTTACCCGCTGCTCCAGAGTCAGCCCCATCCTCTCAGCTTCTAATTCCAGTTCCCTGCTGTGGCAGCAGTGGTGACTCAAGTGAGTGGGTTCCTACCACACATGGGGGGGCCCTGGATTTTGAATTCCCAGATCCTAGCATCTGCTAGTTCAGCCCCTTTTAGGGAGGGCACTTAGGGAGTAACCAGAAAATGGAAGTCCTCTCTTCTCTTTTCTCTCTCTCTCTCCCTCCTTCCCTCCCTCTCTTTCTTTCTCTCTCTTCTCTGAAATAGGAAAAATGCAAACAGAGGAAGGATATTCCAAGCAGAAGACATTGTTTGTGCATGCAAAGGCAGGAAGGCAGGAAACAGTTTAACCTGTATATTGACTCACAGTTCAACAAAGCTGGAGACTAGAGTATAAGAGAATGAAAGAAGGACGTTAGAGACATAAGCTGGAGGTAAATAATGGAGAATTTTTATGTTAGCTAATAAATCGGGCTTAAGTCCAGCTTGTATTGCCATAAAATCAAAATATTTCTACTTCACTAAAAATGAGCCCCTGGCGATAGCCTCCACTCCAGACATGCTTCCCTCCACCAAGACTCTCAGACGGCCTCACGATCCAGCAGTCAAAGGGGAATGTCTGTGACTTGTGCTTTCCAATCCCTTTCCAGTTCTAAACTATTTCAATGCCATGTTCGTTGCTAAGAATATTTGAGGTGGGTGTGTGGCACAGCAATTAAGTCACTGTTTTGGTTGCCCGCATCCTTTATCAGAGTATCTGGTTCAAATCCCTGGTCCGCTGCTTCCAACCCCAACTTCATGCTAATGCATACCCTGGAGGCAGCAGGTGATGGCTCCAGCACTTGGGTCTCTGCCTTCCACATGGCTGACCCAGAGGAGTTCTGGGCTCCTGGCATCAGCCTGGCCCAGATCTGGCTTTTGGGGCATTCGGAGAATGAACCAGAGGATGGAAGATGTCTCTGTCTCTCTCCGTTTTAAGTAAAATGAAAATAAACAATTTTTTAAATGTTTACTATCACCCCTGCTAACATTTGGGGACTTTATCCAGGGGTGAAACAGAACCACTAAAATATCTCCAGCAAAGATGTTACAAGGATAGAATGATTTTTTTTTTTAACAGAGCCCCTCCCCATGGAGATACTGAAAACGTACACAATCTCCTGTCCTACGGTTTGGACAGTTACAATGCTGCTTGGCCTATGGGTGGTTGGAGGAGATGACACCAAGCATGTTCTTAATTTATGAGGTAATTCCATGGTCAATTACCGTGGAGAGACTGGCTGGTTAAAGCTTCCTCTCACATCTGAAGGAGCTCAAGGTGAGAGAGCCGGCTGGGAGCAGGCCTCTCTGAGTCACAGTCTCTGTCTCATAAGATAAAGAGGCATAGGCGTGGTTTTGTGTTGAAATTCGTTTTACACCGGCATGGCAGGTAACCCCTCGCAGCAGTAACCCGTGCAGTGGCTTCTCCTCCCAGAGCTGTCCACACTGTTGCCCTCTCCTCTCCTCACCAGAGATGGCTGTGAGTCTAGAGCATGGTGCCAGCTTCACATTTCCAGTGAAAGCAAGAGAGAGGAGCCACCAAGGGGAAAGAAACCAAGTCAGCTGGCAAAGCCAGGAAGTGCAGCGACCAGAACCCACACTGCAGCTCTGCATCACACCCCTCAAGCTATATCCTTCAGATGCACTCTATTTCACCCAGATTCAATCGTTTCCAAATCATATTGTAAAAAATAAAGCCTCAGCTTTTTCTTTTAAAATATTTGCATTTCTTGGTAAATCATAACCCTAGTCCTAAATTTCCCCCTGCTCATTTTTTCTCATCTTTCACTTACCTGCTGATCTACCACTGTGCAAGCAGTTTTCTCCTCATTTACTGAGGATGCCACTCTCTTTTTTCTCTTTTCCATCTTCTTTTTTTCTCCTAATGCTCATCTAATTAACAGTCAAGCTGCTTTTCATACAAAATCTCCAAGCTTTAAAATTTTTCCTTCTGATTAGAAGTTTATAAAAAGGAGCTGCTGAGTTTCAAAAATACCTTTTTCAAGAGTTTTATGTGCTCAGCTATCGGATCACCCCCTCCCAGCTAAGCCTCTAAAACTCCCAGAGTTAGTGAGATCTGTGTCCCGTGAGACGACTGCTGGATATTTGAGGGGTGTGCTGCTCAAGATCTCAAGTCACACACTGGAGCCATCTTTAGAAAAAGCCCAGTTTCTTTAATCACATTTTACTGTATTGTCCTTAAGAGAGAGGTCATGCTATCAAAGGATTATTAAGCCATTAAATAATCATTTAATGAACACCTACTGGGTGCCAGGCAATGAACTAAGAGCTAGAATATAATGAGAAGTAGAAGATAGAGTCCTCTCAATGTGTGTATACACTCAACAACAGCAATTCTTAATTTTGGTTGCCTATTGGAATCCCAGGGAATGCTTACAAGTCCCAAGGCACATCCATCCATCCCAGACCAATTAAATCAAAATCTCCAGGGGTAACAGCTATATATATTCTCTAAAGGTCCTCAAGTAGTTCCAAAGTACAGCCAAGTTTGAGACTATATATACATCGAATAATTATAGAAATAGATATAAAATTGTAACATTAATAAAGACAAATAAATTGTTACACATTGAGGAAACTTCAATGCCATTCGTTTATATGTGAAGCCAAGATTCGCTGAGCATCAGCTGCTCATCAGACACGACAGGAGTAGCATGACCGCAGGCCACAACCCAAGGAAACATTGGCAGTCCCTACCATCCTTCACTTTAATGGGTTGAAACCGAGCCCGGAGTACTTGGGAGTTTCTGGTGATGCACACCTTACTCACGCAGGCCAAGGTAAGAGTCTCACTCTCTAAAGGTTGACAGGATATTTGAACAATGCCACTTGATTGAAATTCAATGCTTAGGGACCAACTATAGTAGGGGGATGTGGTATGATAATTTGCTCTGACATGAGATATCCAAGGCAGAAGACAGAGGAAACCTGATCCACAAGGTCTGTTTGCAGATTTAAAGAGGAAAATAAATTCTGTAAGGCTCTAGGCAAGATTGTCTGGGATTTGCTAAGGGATATGTGCAGAATCCTTATATAATGAGCTTCTTTAAATAAACAAACAGCATTCTGACTTTATAAAAGCTTCTGGGTACTGGAGAGGTTATTAAAAAATGAGAGGTGGTGATTTAGCCTCACCATTGCTGTTGAGGATGGCCTTCCAGGTTTGAACCCCTTCTTGCACTCACTTATTTAAAGCCTGCCTCTCAAGAGGATGGAATTATTTTTCTTGTTTCATTTTGTTACTTTTTTAAAGTCCTCTGGCTCCATTCACTTGATTTAGACTTATCAGATGGTACCATACTGAAGAAAACTCTTATTTGTTCCTTATATTCTATTTTTCAACCTGCAATCTGTCTTTAAGTTATAAAGTTATAAAGACACATAGGTCTTCACATAGGTCACTACAGCTACCATCCAATTGTCGCAAAGCAGCCAATGTTCAATATTAAAGATCAACGATGCATATCTCTGAAGAGAAACCATTTGTTTAAATCCTTTACTACCCAATTTTTAAATTACATAATGATAATCTCGTATTTTTAAAACATGCACTCCAAAACATTTTAAGAAGCAAATGGGTTGGGAATTTCCTATGCTTCCTAAAATCCCCAGAAGAGAGGAGCTAAGACTGGATTTTATTCCAAAGGGGGGAAAGCCTTCATTTTTAATAAGTGCAGAAGCTTTGCATTTAATTTGAACAGAGCCAAAAATCCACCCTGTGAAGTCACCAGCGTTTCTCCTGATGCTGCGTCATTTGTCTATCCGATGAAGGATTAGACTCCGACTTGCTGAGGTCTGACACGATGGAACCTGGAAGCAGTGTATGATCACACTGCTGGCCGGGACTTACCATACACGCAAATTCCTTCCAGGCTTCTAACTTGGTAAATAAATGTGGACTCTGGGGAAAAAGGAAAACAAAATGAGTCTGTGAGAAAAGTTAGTTCCCAAAGCTCATGCTCTAAGGTTTTATACTGCAGGTAGAGTCTTTGGTGCAGAGATGTCTAGGAAGAAGACAAGCCCCTAAGGGAATACTAGGCAGTTTCCTCAAGCCACTGAAGCCCGTTCTGCCCTACTGAAGACCCTGCAGAATTCTCCTGCCACCACAAGCTCAACGCTCGGTTCTGCCATCTTAAAAAAAAAAAACAGCCCAGCTGATGCCATTCATTATACCATGTAGTCAGTCAAAATGTGAGCTGAAATTACAGCGTTGTTGCAGATCCCCATGGATACCAAAGTCCACAGCTCCTCATGACCCTTAAGTAATAGGCAGAATACTTGCATATAATGTATGCACATCCTCTTTATACTTTAGATCATCTCTAAGTCACTTGTAATTCTTGATAAAATATAAATGTTGGGTAATTATTCACTATACCACAATGTATGTTGAATAACAAGAAAAAGAAATGTTCTGTACAGATGTAATTTTTCCACATATGTTATGTCTTCAGGAACCTAAATGTAGATCCCATGGATACAGAGGGCTAACTATATATATATATATATATATATATATACATATATATGTATATTATATATATAAATATATATATTATATATATTTATATATGTATATATATAATTTATATGTACTGTCATTTTTATCACAAATATTATACCAACTTTCCAACTCTTACATTGTAAAAGAACTCTATTCTCAGGATTTTTGATTGTATAAAAGGCATTTGCTCCTCAGGTATCTTTTGTAAAGCAGTATCTGACTAATGTATATAAATTTTTTTCTTTTATAAAATTTTTTCTTTTTTTTTTTAATTTGAGGAAGAGAGAGAGAGGGGGAGGGAGAGAGAGAGCACTCATTTGCTGGTTCACTCCCGAAATGCCCAAGATGACTGGTGCTGGTCTGGGACCAGAGGCAGGAGCCAGGAATTCAATCCAGACCTCAACTATTGGTGGCAGGAGTCAAACTACTGGAGCCATCACCTGCTGCCTCCCAGAGTACACATTAGCAAGAACCAGGAGTGGAGCCAGGACTCAAATCCAGGCACTTCAATATGGAAAGTAGTCATCCCAACCGATAGCTTAACTGCTAGGACAAATACCCACTCCTATAGGTACAGAGTTTTAAGAAAAAAAGGACCTGGTTAGAATTTCAGAGGGTCATATCTCTCCAAAGTAGAAGAAATAAAGTATAATAAAGCAAACCAGTTTAATAGGACAAACTAGAGACATTAAACTGACAACACAACAATCAAACTCCAAAAATATCATACAATAGATTTTCTGTTTTCCTGTCAAGGTTTTGCTGGCATGTGCTTGGCATGACTTGATCAAACTCAAATCTAACATTTTGCTTTCTTTTTAGGCAGCACAACTTTGTTAAAATACAAGATCAAAACTGCTAACATACGCTTTTTTTGCAAGAACAAGGAGTTCAGCAGTCAGCCTAAACACCCAAGTCATTAAAGTGAGATTTGGTGAGTTTAGGGCATAGCACCTGAGGGGGAAAAAAAAAAAGTGCCACAAAACATTCCCATTTCTCAATTGTCTTCATCTTTGACTTACAGAAAACAAAACATGTTCTGCGAACTCTTAAACAAACCACCACATGGACGATTCTAACTCAATGACCCTGTCATAAATTCAGACTAAAACAAATACAAGGTAAAATAATGTTCATTAAGAACAGAGTTTTAAAAATCAAATTCAGTTTTAAAAGACAGAGTTAATTTTTGTGGAAGTTTGCAGACAAACGTGCCAGGCTTATTTGCCTAAAGATATACTTGAAACTTCTTGAACCTAAAAGAATCAGAAGAATGACAGTCAGCATTTCTCGGGCAGGAGAGGGACACATCACAGAGGTGATAACCCGCCCCTCTCTCAGGATCACAGAGAATGCTCTCTTCCTCCAAGTAACTTCCACTTTCCCAAACCCTAGGAGGGTCTTATACAGCAAAACAATCAGCTTGAGAGTGATTTTTCACAAAGACAGCTACTTGAAAAAGATGCTATGGCACTGACCCTCAGGAAGAGAAGTCAGTGGGTATAGATGGAGAAGCATAAAACTTCCCTTTTCAGAGTAGAGTCAAGGCCTGGATATCTGAATGTCTTCGGATAGTAATCAACATTTATTACATACTTGGAGAACTCTGGTCTTTTGAGAAACATTAACTAGAAAAAATATGGGAAAATAAATGTGCTTAGAATTCTGCACATGGAAGCAAGTGTGGACAAAGAGTCCAAAAAATAATCATCTTTACGTGTCTGGTATTTTGCCAAGGTTTCAGTTATCTCCAGGTTTCTGTTTTTTTCAAAGACTTATTTATTTGAAAGGCAGAGTGACAGAGAGAGATGGAGAGACAGAGAGAGATCTCCTATCCACTAGTTCACTTACCCCTAAAATGGCCACAACAGCCAGGTTTGGGCCAGGCAGAAGACAGGATCCAGGAACTCCATTCTGATCTCCCATGTTGGGGCAAGGACCCAAGCATTTTGGATACATTCTGCTACCTTCCACGGCACTTTATCAGGGAGGTGGATCTGAAGAGGAGTAGCAGGGACTTGAAACAGTGCTCCACAGCTTAACCCACTGTGCCATACACCAATCCATATCCAAGCTTTCTACCCACCCTTTTCCAGCCTGCTCAGTGATCTCGGAGATTAACCCACACGGAATGCATCAAAGGGTGCCTTGCTCCCTGGCTTTCAACTGGTTTCCACTAGTAGAGTAAGATCCAGGAAGCTGGGGCCTGGAGGACAGTGCGTCTGCAAAAGTAGAAGAGGACATAAAATATAATAATAATGGTAGTAGGAACCAAATCAGAAAAGAACAAACAGAAAAATGGAGAGGCCAAATCAAAAAGACAACTTAAACATGATGCCAAAAACCCGAGCAAGGCAAAGAACAAAGGATAAAAAATCTAAAAGGGTAACCCTTGGCCTTCCAGGCAGGTGAGGCCAGGGAAAGAGGAAGAAACAGAACTGCTTCATCTGGGTTGCACCAGAGGCAAGACTCTCCATGTGGGCTTGTGGGCCTGAATATCACTCTGAGATTATGATCTCAAAAGCATATGGCTGAGGTGTCTCCATTTTATGCACGTCTGAGAGCTGCTTCATATATAACCTAGGAAACCATGGTGTAGGCCACAGCTGAAGAAAAGTGTTTATCTCCAGGGGCAAAAGAGAATAAGAATAAATGGTCCATGAATTTACTGCAATGCCATATGTCAAATATCTCATATTAATAAACAACACTTAGAGAAGAGATTAAGGAATCAGTAAGTCACATGGCCAGAAATATCTTAATGTATCATAATTGGAGACATAAATCTATATCAAATTCCCAGATCTCTCCCATTCACCCAAAACCCTTATTATTCAAAAGTGCTCCTCAAATTCTGCCACATGAAGGAAAATATCTTAGTGTAAAGAACTATTACATATTTCCATCATATTCCTCCAAAGTTGAATGATAAGCAGTTGTGTTCCTACCGGATGTGCATATAAAGTCTAGCAAATAAGAACATAAAATAATGACAGGAAGAAAACAAACCAAAAGCTAAAATTATCAGTGGAGCTGATTAGCATATGTATAAGAGACACTTGTACAGATGTGGGATGCTTTCTTTAGAATGTAAGTTCTCAGAGCTGTGATTCTTAATCATTTTTGGAGTTGTGACATCTTATCATGTATTTGCTTTTTATGATCATCACCAACCTCCTCCCAAGAGCATATTTTTAAATGAGAAAGAATAATTTTATTCTCAAGCATTTGGTTTTATTTTTATTCTAAGAATTACCCTGGAGGATCATACCATTTGAAACACCAACCACGATTCAAAATCCAAAATTCCAAAATTTAAATTGTCCCTTTGCCTTTTGCCTTTCCTGGAAGGGTTATGTAATAATCCACTGCCCCAGGAAAGCTAATGAGCAGAGGGGAAAAAGCTGGACTGACTTGTTTCTAAAAGCATCTTTCAAAGTTTGATGGATTTTTAAAGGAAGCAGTCATTTAATGAAAGGTAGAACATCAGTGGGGGCTGTATAGAAAGAAAAAGAGAAATCTTCTACCCTGGTTCACACCCCATATAGTCACAACAGCCAGGGCTAGGCCAGGCTGAAGACAGGATCCAGGAACTGCATCCTGATCTCCTACATGGGTGGAAGGAGTCCAAGTGCCTGGGCCATCATCTACTGCCTCCAAGGCCCGTTAGCAGAAAGGCGAATTGCAAGTGGAGCAAATGGGACTCAAACCAGCACTCCAATGTGGGATAGCAGCATTGCAAGGAGTGGCTGAACCCACGGCACCACTATGCCAGCCTGGTCTTTCAAAGTTTGCATAGAACATTTTGAAGAAACCCAAAAGAGGAAGAGATAGATTGGCATGATTTTTCCAAATATACTTGTGTATCATTCCATTTAGGTAAATATTATGGGTGCTGAGAACCAGTTTGCACAGAACCTCTTAGCTAACTCCACTGGGTAAGCCATTTTCACCAGCTTCATTATTTGTATAAATGAGAAAGAAAAGTAGCCATTTCTAGAGCCCTTGGTTTTGTCATTTGTTTTAAGCCAAGGTTTAAATCCTCCCGTAAGATTTTATTAGATGTTCCCTGTATGGGTCAAAATGTAGGAAATAGTGCATTTCCTCTTCTAGGAGAAAGCACATCATCTTTTAAATTGTTTTCTTCGAATCAGAGTTGGAAGGGATCTTTTCTATTGCATAGGAATAGGGCACACATAAAGGTAACTTGAGAGTACATACTACACTATATTACTGCCAACAAGTTCTAAATGTCATAACTCTTTCTGACTCTTTTACCAGGGATGCAGTCACCACATGTTAATTGGTAACAAAGGCACAGGAGGGAAAAAAAATCAAAGTTCAGATTATGTCTCAAGTTAAAACAGACATCAGATAGTTTTTATCTATGCTTTCTGGTGATTCTTTTTTTTTTTTAAATTAACCAATTAAAACTCAATCTTGACTTCCCACATTGGTAGTATGGACCCAAATATTTGAGTCATCTCCTGCTCCTCCCAGAGTCTGCATTAGCAGGAAGTTTGAATGGGGAGCAGAGACAGGACTTGAACTCAGGCACTCTGGTATGGGATGGGGGTATCCCCAGCAACATCTTAACCACCGTGCTAAGCGTCCTCCTCTCAGTAATTCTTTTCTTTCAGTAAGAGACTCACAGGTCTCCAAAGGGGCCAAGGCATAGCAATGAAGAAATCAACCGCGAGATCATTGCTGGAGCTAAAGAGGGAGCAAGAAGTCTCTACATATCACTAACCTATGACTTAGCATATCCTAATGCAAAGACTGAGATACACTGTCAACACATTCCAAAGTGAGGACTCTGGCCCATTTAGGAGAAGAGAACATTTGAATCACCTGGTTGTTTGCATAAACTGGCTGGCTACCCACTCCAGTCCAAACTGTTGACTTTGTAATTCCAAACAGAATAAAATCAGTTCTGGCTTTTATCTACAGAATTATGCAACCAACACATCTGCTTCTCTCCTCAGGAAAAAAAAAAAGAAAACTTTAAATCCGTTAAAAATAAATGTGGTGTTTTAGTTATAAGAAAATGCACAAACAGACAAGGCATTATAATGCCATTGCCAAGCAAATGATTAAATTCCATTTAGAGGAAATGTCATAGCGGCACTCACATTTCTGGTGAGGGCCACGTCCGCGTAGTCTTCAGATGCCAGAAGACAAAGAATAAGGGGAAGGGTGGGGCCAAAAGACAGGGGAGGAAGCTCAAGCCAATATAATGAAAGATGGAATAACCTTACAGCTAAACAGTTTACTTTTCAAAGGCAGCACAAGGGCAAAATGCTTTGTGCAAAGAGAAAATTAGTTTCCAAAGTGTATGCCTTCTACAAAGAGCCAAGTTAATTATTCAAAGCAGAGGCCCATGAATTCCCACAATTTAGTCATTCTATTCTGACACATTCAGGCCCAGCGAGCTGCTTCTTATCACTAAGACTTTGATAATTGGCTTAGACATATCAAATAAACTTTCTGGAGAATTTAGTAGTAAGCAGGTATGACATCCTAATAGGGGTTTTATTAGGCCTTGCTCTGTGCGGTAATGTATTAGCAATCACTGTGACATTCTCTGCTCTGGGGGGTTTTGGCCTTGCTCATTTTTTACACTTGCTAGAAAATAAATTTATTCATGGTAGAGATCTAATCCAATACACTGCTCTGTTTACCCTGGTTTCTAAAGGAACAGGTCTCTCAGAATTAATGAAAAGTGACACATACATCATAGAAGAAAATGCACTGTCTTCAGCCAGGCATAACTGAATAGCAAGAATCCCTTTTGATTCTACAAACTTGGGAATTCAGTAAGTACAGCCTTGGTACTTTCCCTGATCACATATTTGCCTCCTGTACCATTGAAGAAAGAAGAACACATAGCCAATAGTACATATGGATTAGATGTCTCCTCTTTAGCAGCTTAGTAGTAGTTTAAAAAAGTAACTTCCCTAAGAATATATGGCTAAGATAATACTAATGTACTTTCATCACAGGACAAAGAAGTATGAATAAAGGTCAGCCATGTGAAATCTCTGTCATTCAATGCTTGTTGTATAACCAACTTCCTACTTTCCATGTTAATGAAGACAAAGTTAATATGAAAAACTACATAGGAAATCTATTGGTTTTCTATGTCCTTGTGTAACCCTTTTTAGCCTCATGTATGAGGCTAAATTCAGAAGCAAGACCAAGAAATAATGTTCTCTCAAAATACTTCAACTACCTGCTGCATGATGCCTGCAACTTTCTAGTTAACCCTACAGGGTAATAGTTGGTTAAATGTTAATTTTTTTTAACTTTTATTTAATGAATATAAATTTCCAAAGTACAGCTTATGCATTACAATGGCTTCCCCCCCATAACGTCCCTCCAACCCGCAACCCTCCCCTTATCCACTTCCTCTCCCCTTCCATTCACATCAAGATTCATTTTCGATTCTCTTTATATACAGAAGATCAGTTTAGCATACATTAAGTAAAGATTTCAACAGTTTGCTCCACACAGAAACATAAAGTGAAAAATACTGTTTGAGTACTAGTTATAGCATTAAATCTCAATGTACAGCACACTAAGGACAAAGATCCTACATGAGGAGTAAGTGTACAGTGACTCCTGTTGTTGACTTAACAAATTGACACTCTTGTCTATGGCATCAGTAATCACCCTAGGCTCTCGTCATGAGCTGCCAAGGTTATGGAAGCCCCCTGAGTTCACTGACTCTGATCATATTTAGACAAGGCCATGGTCAAAGTGGAAGTTCTCTCCTCCCTTCAGAGAAAGGTACCTCCTTCTTTGATGACCCAGTTCTTTCCACTGGGATCTCACTCACGGAGATCTTTCATTTAGGTATTTTTTTTCCCCCAGAGTGTCTTGGCTTTCCATGCCTGAAATACTCTCATGGGCATTTCAGCCAGATCCGCATGCCTTAAGGGCTGATTATGAGGCCAGAGTGCTGTTTAGGACATTTGCCATTCTATGGGTCTGCTGTGTATCTCACTTCCCATGTTGGATCATTCTCTCCCTTTTTGATTCTATCAGCTAGTATTTGCAGACACTATTCTTGTTTATGTGATCCCTTTGGTTCTTAGTCCTATCATTATGATCAATTGTGAACAGAAATTGATCACTTGGACTAGTGAAATGGCATTGGTACATGCCACCTCGATGGGATTGAATTCGAATCCCCTGGTATGTTTCTAACTCTACCGTTTGA